ATAGATATAGCGCTTCCACCCGTATTTGATGATGGGAAGCCCGTACGTCTTGACTATTGGTGGGCTGAAGTTTTTAAGTGTAAAAAATATTTAGAGCTTAGTAAGATTATCAAGGCATGCTTAAGTATTTTTAGTAGTCCTCATGTTGAGCAATCATTCAGCATGATGAACACTATAGTTAACAAAAAGACAAACCGTCTTGATACTTTAACGTACTCTGCTATAGCTTCAGTTAAGTATTAATTATTAGCAAACGAGACCACAGCAGTAGGATACTTTAAAAGGCGAGATATATTGCATGACCCAGTTAACAAAAATATCTGTGGTCATTTGCAAACTGCAAGCAAACGCTATAATAAAAAAATCAAATTCCATCGGAAAAATAGAAAAGTTGAAGAAAGATTTTTAAATATAAATTCAACGTGGAAAAAAAAAATTGCCTTACATGAACAGTGCAAAAAAGTTAAAGAATCTATTATTGATCATGCAAAAAAGTGCAGAAAAAGAAAAGCTGACGAATGCTTCACAACAGAAAATTATAAGAAAAAAAAGTATTGATTCCTGACATTTATTCCATTGTCTTACATTTTATATTTTAAATATAAAGAAATTATTGCGCTTTGCAGGTTGCTTATGTTAAAACTGAGATATTATATTTCATTTTAGAGAAACATAATTAATGAGTAGTTTTTAGTTTCTTTATTTATCCCTTTACCAACGTTCCAGAATTTACCCACATACCTTCGTCAATTTATTGACCCTAAATTTTTCCGGGATTTTCCGGAATTTTCATGAAAATGACTTTCCGGGATTTTCCGGGATTTTCAAAGAAAAAAATTTCCGGGATTTTCATAAAGTCAAAAACTCATCTATGTTAAATTGGGGAGAGGGGGAAACAATGGTACCTTTCAACAAGAAATTAAAAAAAATAATAAAAAAAACTTCTGAAAAAATCAAAAACAATTATTTTGCCCTGTTTTTTAATGTATTAGCAACATTTTAATATAATTTATGTTTAAAAATATTTACGATTAAGTATAACTTTTCTAAAGTTAGTTTTTTGTACCAATGCTCTCTTACTGGGGAGCATTGGTACATAGCAGAAGGAGCATTGATACACACTGAGTTTACATTAATACAGTAACAAATTTCATTTAAAATAAATGTAATTTTAATGGAAGATAAAACACATTTCAAAACCAACAAAATGTTTTATAGATGTATCAACAAAATCTAAATATGACAAAAAAAAAAAAACAATATAAGGTAAGTATTTTCTACAAGTAACTATTTTATATTATACATTGAATAATCAATGTTGAATTCTTGAATAGAGCCTGTGGGTTTTGTTCCCAGTGTGGACTTAAGATTAGGAAGTGCCAATAATGTCATTTATACTGACAATGCTTTTATCAGAAACCTTAGGAAAAATAAATTTTACTTGTTTCAATACTTGTTTCATAAAATCTATGGAGAATTCATTATTATCAAGAATGCCGTCTATTTGCCTGATTTAATGATGAGTAGTTTTTTTTTGTAGAAAATTTTACTATAACAAAACTCTTCAAATCAATTTTCAGCAAACCAGAAATCGGATCTTTATTTTGGCTAACATTAGATTTATTAAACTTTCATTAGAACCGGATAATAAACTAATTTGTGGAGATATTGCTTTTTTTCTTGATTGTGTCCTCACACTAGGTGTTTGCCTTAAGATTCTTTTCAATTTTTTCTCTTCAAGTCTTTTTTTTTCAGGAGTATCTGTGAGTATTCTAAATTTTCCTCTTTTTTTCCCCTTGTTAGTACGCCATGCAGTTTTTGGATTCGGACAAATCATTTCTGGAGTTGATGAAATTTTTAATATTCCTGGTAGTGTATTATTTACAGTAACTTGTGATGCTTTTGCTCTTTCTGTTGTAACAGCTATTTTTGGAGGTTTTTCTCCTACCATTGTATTTGGATCAGGTTGATCTGTTACATATGCAGAATTAAAATTATTTAAAAAAAATTGATCTACAAAAATACCATTTACCAGTGTTGGCAAATGCAGATATATTGTTTAATGAAAATGTTCCCAAATATGATGTGTTAATTAAAATAGGCAAGTTATAAATGGTTGTAGTTTTACCACGATTACTTAGCATCCAATCATTTAAAACACTTTTCAATTTCCCTTTAAATGGCCCATACAATCCAACATCAAAAGGTTGTAGTCAGTGTGTGCAGTGTGGTGGGTATGTTACAAATACAATTGCACTCTCTCTGCAAAACAAAGAGTAGCATGGAATTCATGATTATCTAATAAAATAAGTATAGGATTATTTTTTGTACAGTTAGTTCTGATTATGCTTCAAAACTTCAATGAAGCAAACTCCATTCATCCAAACATGTTGGTTTGATAATCCTAGGCTACTTTCTAGTGCTCCATTTAAAAACTCTTTTTTAAAAGGGATTGTGTTGCCATTAGCTCCAATTATTGCACAAAGTGTGATCATTTGGACCCGGGGACCAGGCAATTTGGCGACTTTACAGGGTATCCCGGAATCGACCATTTTTTTGATGTACCCGGCACTGAGTATCTTCAAAAATATTTTTAACAGGCATAACCTTTAAGTGCTGTAACTAATAAATCATAAAAATAATAAAACAAACTTTGTTTTAGTGTTATTTTAAATTGTATAGAAATATTAATAACCAGATAAAAAATAGTGCTTCAATCAATAAACTTCTTTGACCTACGTAAAACGGTTTAAATGATCGTTTACAATAAATCAACATTTAAACTTTTTAACCAACATAGACGATTATCAACAGAATTTTTCTCCCATGAAGTTTGGGAAGTGGGATGAGAAATCAATAGTTTTTGCAGGGCTGACAACATGCTTTTTAAAGTGTGGGGCATATTATCTTAATTAAAAAATATATATATTTGATCATCTTCTTTTTAAATATTTTGAATGTTGATAACATTTTTTATTTGTCACAAACAAAAAATCATAAAAGAAATTAAATGAAATACAGCAAAAAAGTGTTGTCTAAATTATTTTTTATTTGTTTAAATTTTTTTTTATTCTTACTTTTTTTAATGGACTCGGTGCCGGTTACCTTGTATCGGACCCAGTTTTTACCAACGGGTACCCGGAATTGGGGACCTGGTATATAATGGTTTGCACACACCTCTAGTTAATTGCAATACTTTATCTTCTGATAGGATGCATCTTCTTGATTTTCTTTGTGAAGTTTCATGGCATTTTTCTGAAAACTTAATAATATATTTAATAACCTAGTATCCAAACAGCGTTACAAAGACAATTAAAGCATTAACCTATATTTTCTCGCACCGTACTGTACCAAGTTTGTATGTAATCTACAGAGCGGAATTTCAAAATCCTGTACCAATGCTTACTGATTTCAATGTACCAATCTTCACCCTTTACTAGTGAGTGCTTCAAAATGCATTATTTTTTTGTGTAATAAAAAACTTTCAATTTTTTTTAATTTTCTCTGTAGTTTTAGAGTTGAGTTTAAATCTTCAGTTATTATTATTTCAGTTAAAACATTAAAAAAGTGCTGTATTCGCCAAACACAACAAACCATGAAAAAAATCAACATATCGAAGAAATAAATAACATGTAAATTTATAGGTACCAAATGCATATAACCTAACTATATTTTCATAGGAAGAAGTAATTATAAGAAATACTTATTATCTGCATTCAAAAGTTGGAAAAAGTTAAAACACAATAACAAATTAGAAATACTATGTAAAATTGTATAGAATTTCTATAATTCTGTGTCAATTTAAAGAAAAAATTGAAAGAACATTTATTTTTTTAATAATCTAACCTTAATTTACAACAGCTTGAAAAAAAAAATTGTGTCTACAATAATATTTATAAATGTATTTAAATTGTTTCTATATTGTTTAAAAATTAAGTTTAGTAGAGACCAGAGCTAGTTGGCAACAGGGGTAAGTTGACAAACTGCCTTTATCTTCAGAGTCTTTTATCAGAGTCTTTTATTTTTTTAAGTTACAAAAATTACATAGAACCTTCCTGACCATTTTATTATTCACTGTGGTATGTTAGGTTTCACACATGCGTATGGGAGATATTGGGATTTAAGTGTTTTTTGGATAAAAATGTAACTTTGGGAACATCGCTTTCTTTTTACTTTATAAAGAAAATAGTTAGATGTATGAAAAAAAAATTATTGTTAAAATTCCAGTCACAATTGGTTTACTATTTCCAGTCAGACTTTTTTTCAATAGTTACTGTTTGTCAGGATCTATAGACTGTTTATTAAAAAAAAAACCTTTTGGCAAAATTTTCAAGGGGTAAGTTGGTCCATAACATTTACTATGGAATTATATATACATATTTTTATAAAATTATTTTTTACAAAAAAAAAATTTTTTTTCAGGTTTTTTTTTTAACAGATAGTTACTGTTTTGGCTGATATACAAGCTAATATTTGGTACCAGATAAAAGTAATATTAAATTTTTGGCTTAAAATTGTTGCCAAAATAAGTAGTAAAAAAATTTCTATAAATTTAGCACTTAATAATACATTAATAATCATTTTTATAGTTGCTCCAACTTACCCCTAGTAAGTTAGCGATTTTTTTTTTTCTTTGAGGCTTTAGGAGGACCTCAAGAAATTTTTTTTTATTATGAATGCACGTTAAAAATGTTACATAAATTCTTTAAGACTGCGCTTTAATATTTACAAAAAGTTTTGCCGTTAGAGCTACAGAGCTCAAAGAGTAAAAACAGAGGCAACTAGCTCCGGCCTCCCCTATAAAGAAATAAATTGTTTACGTTATAAATTACCAATTTTTATAAATTTATACAAAGGTTAAAGAAAATGCGAAAAACAATTTAACTGTTTTTTGTTTTTTTTTGTTTTATTGTGTGTTTTCATTTTATTACCATTGTTTTGTATTGTTAACATTTTTATTTTCAGTTCTATAATTTTTTTTTTAATTGTTTTTATTTTAGGAAGGTAATACTCCATGCCATGTTGCTTGCATTAACAATAGTTATGAAGTTGTTGAACTTTTCATCCATGTAAAAGCTGATTTAAACATTAAAAATAAAGTAAAGTTTTAACAAATTTTTTTCTTGTATACTAAATACAATGTTTTGCTACATGTTACATAATATATCTTGTGCAATATGTCAATACACTTTTTAGATCATTTTTATTTCTAATGATTTACATGATGATTTTACATATTATATTTTTATATTACTATGTGCATCATGTACACACTTTGTTATTAAAATATGTGCTCTCTTTGTTATACAAATATGGTGTATGTAGTGTGTTATACAAAGTGTATACTGTGCAGTGTGTTATGAAAAGTATATATCAGTGATTAAGTTCTGAATATAATTTTATTTCAGAAATTAATTTCAGTTCTCATAATTTCAATAATTTGACTTCTAATTTCAATTCCTAATTCAGGTAATATTTTACTTTATGGTAGCAGGTTCACATTTAAATCTATTTGAATCTGTAGCTGCATTTGATTCTGGCTCTGCTCCACAAACACTTGCTATATACTCCTTTGCTGCATGGAGCAAGGTGCCTATTTAACAAATATGCAGCAGACAGGTAAAGATTGAACATATTTGAATCTGGATTTCAAAATAGATCCCAAAAAGCTTGTCAAAGGTATTTATTTATAGGATGTTCTTGCAGATGGCATTCTATGTTAAGTATATATCATAGGACCTGTTAACGAGAGTCGACATCTGCTTGGAGAAGATCCATTTGTAGTGCGAAGCAAAAAGTGAAGAAATGTATTGAAGCCAAACCATCTGGAATAAAAGTTTTTTCATAACAATTATAATAACTATTATTTATCGTCTTTTGGACTGTCAGTTTTTTTTATCCTGTTGCAATGTGGTTTAAAGGACTTTTCGTGTTATTAGTAAACTATAAATAAAGAACTAGATGACATTTGCTTTTTAATGTCTTATAATTTAATACCACTTTTATTTTCTTATTTTAAATAAGATTGCAATTTAGTGAAGTTAAAAGTTCCACAAATAGTTTGTATACACTAATAACAAATAATATTATACCAATTTCTGTTAGAAACTCATTCAGAGGTGTCTTCATTCTCAATTGTTAGTCAATCATCTGATATTGATACAATCATCTGAGCAGTAAGCAACCCGTAATACGGGTTATTAGTAACTAAATCATTAATAACACTATAACCTGATATACCATCTAAAAATATAATTAAATACAAAAATATCTATAAATAGTTAACAAGATTATTAAAGAAGGCATTATTAAAAATAAAAATATCAATAACAACAGTTAAATTCTTTTTAAAATTAGTTACAAAACATAAAATGTAAATATCAATAACAATAGTTCTTTTTAAAATCAGTTACAAAACAACAGGTACCAACACCTAAAAAAAGAAATTAAAAAAAAAAAAATACGATTTTCAATTACAAAAGTATTATTTACATTTATTTTTAATAGAATTAGAATAAAATAATAGAAAATAAATAATATAGAAATATATATAGTTATAACAGCCTAGTTCTATCAACACAAAACGCAGCAACAATACCATAAAATATTTGTGAGCACATATTACATTTTGCTATATATTAACAAACATTGCTGTCTCCAGGATAATTAAAAAAGGCTAAACAACACAACCTAATAACACCACTTGCTGCTGCCAAATAACACTACAACTTAATAAAATACTTTATCAATTAAAATACTTGAACCTAAGGAGTTTGATTTATTACAATAATTGAACAATTGAGGGACAGTTCTAGTTTGAACAATTATATAATAAAAAAGCAAACAAGTTGTATAATATTTCTTATACATAATCAATTGTGGTATTAAGAAATACATAAAAACTCAGTTATTACATAGAAAGTTCCATTAACGATCCCTTAATAAATAACCCCTTATTTAAGAGAGATATAGGCAGACAGCGTTTCCAAAGCACTGCACAGTGGGCCAGAGATCAGCATAAATGCTGAAATGGAGTATTTGTGTAAACTTTTTTTTTTTTTGTAATATTTTAAAAGTAAATACCCCACAATAAAAAAATCTGTTGTTGCAATATTTTAATTTTTTTTTAGGAGTCCACGGAAAGTTTTTAAGCTCGTCCATTTAAAAAACTTTAAAAACAACAACAACAAAAAAAGTTTTCATAAAATTAAATTTCACCTCTTAAGCGCAGTTTTTTTAAATATAATTGAAATTTTATAATCTCAAAATCAGGGTACATACTTTATTTTTTATTTTTATTTTCAAGGTACATACTTTATTTTAGAAAATCTAATAAATAAAAATAATCTTGTACTTTAAGACTTTTTTTTTAACTTTAAATATGACAGTTAAATGTATTACAAAACATAATAAAATGTTACTATAAATGGCTCAAGATCTTTTTTTGCCCACGTTTCCCCACAATGGGATTAACTTTTTTACAGTGTCTTACTGTAATAAATACTAATAATACTGTAGAATAATAAAACTGTAGAAGGTTTCTCATTAAAAATATCTTGCGCAAAGTTGCGCCAATTAAAGTTTATCATGTTTTAAACATACAACTCGTTTGTTATTTTTAATTGTTCAAAGCACATTGTTGTTAAGTATGAACTCTAAATAATTAATTGTAATTACAGAAACTATAAAAAACATTAAAATATAATGCTGTTCCACTTTATTAAGTAATGTGGTTTTTTTTAATTTATAAATTTAAACTTATTTCAGCTAATTATCGATAATGTTTTTAATTATGTAAAATACGATTACTGTTTAAAAACTTTAAAAAATTATAATTATATTTTTAACATAACATTTTCTTCTACCAATCATTATGAAAAATAAAGAAATTACTCAAAAATTCTTTCATGCTTTGGAAAGCAACTTAATCAAATCAGTTACCAACCCTGATGCTTATAAAGTTACAGGGATCTCTGACATAGACTTTAAATTATTTTCTAAACAGTTTAACAAAAAAATGGAATAAAGTAAATAGACACAAGGATAGATTTGAGTTGCATTACAAAATCTGGTTAGAAAAAGAACTACAAACAAGCGATGCATGTTTTGAAACAGATAAACTAGACAAGGGCCAAAACTCAGGCTTGGCTTTTCCTACTTCTTCTCACAATTTAGGTATGATATTTTATAAAAATTAAAGTAATGGACTTATGATGTTTTTCACTATTTAAATGTGTTTTAGCAAATGTTTATACTAAATACAATCATCTGATATTTTAATATAAATTAGTTGTCTATGGAAGACCATCAGGTGCAAATTCAATACCATTCCCCCAAACTTCACCCAAAGCAAAAATGAGGAGAGCAGAAAAAACAAACATTGCTGTCAAAAGAGAGGAATTATTTTACTCACTTATTTTGAAATTAAAAGAGGAAAAAAGGTTCAGCCATGCTAAGGTACATTAACCTCAATACTATAGTCATTTTTAATTCATCTTATTTATTAAAAAAAAATACTAAGGGGGGATAAAATTTCTTAGTAGATTGTATTCACCTTACTCTTCAAAATTACATTTTTACACTTAAGGTTGTGAAGCAAATATTAAAATCAGAGAAAAATGGTGCAGTTAATTTAACAACAATGTATACTGGAGAGGAAGCATTAGCGTTGATTTTGGACTGCTGATTTAGTAAAGCCGATTACCAAACAATTCGCATTGGAGCAGTTTCTAAAGGAAACATATTGTATCAAACTTATAATGAAGTAAGGGAAGAAAAAGATTTATGCATACCTCGTTGTGGAATACAAATTACTGATTATTCAGCCTCAGTTAATTTACAAAGCCTTATTGACCATACTACATATAGGTTATTAAAAATATATCTGTAATAATCAATAAATCTGTAAAGGCTCCTGAGAAATCCATTTTTGTTTTTATACACAAATTAAAATTTAATGGTTCAACCAACCAATCATTATACAAACAAAGTACAGAAGATGAGATAAGTATCACTTATGTTGAGGAACAATCTTTATTTTTATCCTACATTGTTCCAATTAAACTTTATATTGAAGAATCTGGCAAATCACTATGGACTAATGAAAAACCATCCTATACACTTTACTACCGTCCAGTACGATTTCAATATGTAAAAGATAGTGCTGAGATTATTACACAAGAATATATTTTCTTTAAGAACAGTAATTTGAAACCAACAATCTTTAATTTATTTGTTATCAAACATAAGTTAAAATGCACAATGGTTGATGGAATAGTGGCTACTATAGTTTCGCTTTAAGTAATTCCTTTCAAGTATGTAATTCCTTTCAAGTATGTAGTATTTTGGATTGAACCCTTCAAATATGAACGATCTAAATGCTGCATTTTCAAAAATCTACAATACAGTTTCCACTGAGCTTGGATTGAGCACATTACATGCATGGATTAGGGCTTTGAATGCTGCCTTTATATAAGTTATAGAATTGAATTAGGAAAATGGCTAATTAGAGGAGAGGATGATAAAGAATTTGTTGTAAAAAAAAAGATTATTTTTCAACAAAAGATGATAGATCACTTAGGTTTAATTGTAGATGTACCAAAAAGCATCAGTTCAGGTACAACAAATGATGGAAACACAGCATGAAAAGTATTCTGAAACTAAAAGTTGTCTGCTGAAATACTTGGCTTAGATAAAAGTATCATAAAATGTTTCTATGTAATTCTTTATGTTTTATCATGCAAACATCACATTAACGCAGATGACCTTGAAAAATATACGAAAGAAACAGCAGAGCTCTAGGTTTCTTTGTATGCATGGTTTCCAATGCCTCAAATTGTACATAAAATTCTAATTCATAGTTCTCAAGTTGTATGAGATAAACCAGTACCAGTAGGTCTTCTTTCTAAGGAAGCTCAGGAATGTTGAAAAAAATTATAGAGAACACTTATAGAGAAAAGTCACAAATGAAGATGTTATGCAAAGATTATTGCAAATTATTAGCTCTCTAAAAAGGAGTTTGAGATGTATTAAAGAACTTGAACATAACAAAGATTGTATTAAACGTTGTTGTAACGTTTTTTTAATTTTAAGTTTTTAT